ATTAAAGATTAATATCAAAATCAAATGGCCATCTTGAACGTGAATGTTTATTATAAAAGGGAAAAAAAGTTGACTTAGAAGTAGAAAGATTACTTTGGGGATCATCTAAATATGATCAATCTGCAAAGGACTAGGTAACAGATCCTTCATTCACCAGGTAATGACTTAGTAAGAAAACCAATTCGCTTGGAAAATTCGTCCAAGTTACATGCAGATCAGCAACCCAACATGGTAAAATTTTCCTTTTAAAGAGTTAATTCATTTTGTGGAATGTTATGGTTATCTCTAGAAGGAATCTTCTGTGTTGCTAACTATCAAAACAAAAAGGCTTAGGATTTGAATACCTAAGTTGTAATTTAGGAAAGTATGAGAACTTTGGAAACCACCAAATATACTGTAGGTATTTGTAAAGATTCTAGAATTATCTATGTGAATTAATTAGTATTGAACCTACATCTAAAAATTGGAAATGTATAATAATTATGTAGGAAGTTGTTAAAGCCTAGATTCATCCTATGGGACCTATATGTGCGTGCTCTTGTAATGGTTTGATACTTTGGTAGAAAACGAAATCATGTAAAAGAAATAAGTGGAATAAAAATAATTCAAGAGAAGCTTGTTTTCAAAACTAGCAGTTGAAGTCATTCATATGTCATATCAACAATGGGGCCTAGGGAAGCCTTATGGGAGATGGAATTGGGTATGGTGACCATGGTCACCACTTGGGACAGTTTTGATTACTGTACATATCTATGTTAGGACAGCCCTATACATGTTTCCAGAGTCATACATCCCCAAGTTTCCACAGCCTCGTATTTCCCAGCTCTTATTAAATTAAGCTTTTTTATAATAAATAAAAAAGAAAATTTATTAAAAGAAAAAAAAAAGAATTACAAGAGAGGTGATAAGATATCACCCACAGGCAAGCAAAAAGAAACCCAGCAACTTTCCCTCTTCTATGCAATCAATCTAAAGCCCAAACAAAAGAAAAAACCCAATCCCACACCAAATATAGATAAGACCATAAATGGGGAAAAAAACACATGCCTAAGATCCATCCTCCAATAGGGATAGGTATCGCCTGTCCTCCCTCTTTGCCCATCTCAGTGCCCTACTAATAAGGAAAAGACACCTGCCCCATTACACAAACTACTACCTCCAATGTGTGAAGAAACATCCAATCTCAACATTTTTATTCCCACCAATTTTCATTTATATTAAGAGAATAAATGACAATAAAAGTTAATGTACTATCCTGTTTATCTATTCCACACCCTCTAAAACCCTTCTTCCTTTGTGCTTTCTCCCTCTCTCCCAAAAGGTTGGGAGATGCCAGTGTTTTAAAAGCACAAGGCGCAAAAAAAAGCACAAGGGCCAATTTGCACCTGAGGCTCAAGGCACAAGGTGAGGCACATGCCTTTTTAAGCAAGGCACAAAATTACAAAGAAAAAGAGCTAAAAATTAAAAAAAAATCAAAAAAAATGCCAAAAAGGTTTTAAAAAAAATCAAAAAATATTAAACATAATGTTAATAAAAAACATAAACTTAAATTTTAAAATATATGTTTTAAAAAACCTATTATCTAAAATTAAAATGCATGAACATAACATGTAAAGCGTATTCAAATGAAAATTTAAAAATAAAAGCAAACATATAAAGTATTTTCAAGCATGTAAAACCCACAATCTCTTTTTTTCCTTAATTGCATTGCTTCGAGTAGCTAATGTGATGTAAAACATATTGCATTCTTGATTCTATGAATTGCCTTTGTACCACTCCCCTTGAGGCAAGCCCGAACAAGTCTATGTTAGGGTCTGAAATTCTTATTTCTCAAATAAAAAATAATGATTTTATAACTTTCATTGCCTTTTAAGAAGATATTTTATTGCAATGAATGAATGAACAACATTAGCAAATAGGGGGTTCTCGGAGCTTCGATGAGCGAGAGAAGCGCGAAGCCCTCGGCCCAACCGTTAGACTCAAGAAAAAGCAAAAAGCACAAAGTTTTAAAAAGGTGCACACCTTGGCTGAGGCGCAATGCGCATTGAAAGGGGTGCGCCTAGGACCTAGGCGAGGCACATACCCCAAAATGCACCTCGCCTATGCGCCTAGGCATGCCTTTTAAATAGCGTGCGCCTTTTGAAAGGGGTGCGCCTAGGACCTAGGCAAGGCACATACCCCAAAATGCGCCTCGCCTATGCGCCTAGGCATGCCTTTTAAATCACTGGGAGAAACAAAGAGAAAAGAACCACTTTGATTGAAAGATTTTTAGATTCTACAACAAGAAGAAACAAAGACGAGGACCAAACGTTCTCATGGGTGACGTTTTGCAATGTATACTGACTCAACTTGGAAGCTGCAACGTGCGATGAAGACCCATATCGTTCATCTCTTATTCTTCTGGCATTCTAGTTAGAAGTACAGAGGAAAGCATGCATCTTGCATTTTCAAACAGCAGACCTGTACTGTCAAGGAGACTTCAAGGTTGGGTTTTGCATGAACAAAATCAGATTTAGACAGCCCCCTGCAATATAAATTCGCTTGCCTAAAACTTCTTAATCTATTGAACTGCCATCACCAAATATGAAACTTTAATTAACGAGTTTATGCTGATCATCGATAGACAGGTCTGAAACCCAGGTCAGAAATAGAAAGTTTTCTTTTCTTTTTCTGTATTCTGTATTCTGTGGTGGTCTAAACTAAACAGCATCTTGATGATGGGGTCTGTGGAAATAAAGTTTTGAGTGTCCTAATGGTGAAGGGGTTTCAGTCGCAAAGAAAAGGAACGGAAGTTTTGAGTTTATGTTTCATTCAGGGAAGGAAAGAAAGGCAGTTACTATTTACCTTTCATTTTATTTAAATATTATTTAAAATTAAAACATTGTGTCTCCACCTTTGAACATTGATGTGGGGGCTCATGTAATAACACACATGTCATTCCCTAAATGGAAGGACAGAGACGGGCACAGGGGGGTGACAGATGAACCTAACCCCCCTCCAACAAAACCTTACCACCCTCCACACCCACTAAAAGCCCATCCACATCTCCCAATATCAATCCCAATTAATCAGATTTTCCTGAATGTTGAACGCAATCCTTTCTGCTTCTCTTATTAAGTTTCTTCATTTTCTTCACTTTCTTAATGGGCCCAATCCCAAACAATCCCATCTTCAATCTAGCAAAAACCTTCAACACTTGAATAGTGCATTGATTTCTTTGAGGTGTGAACTTTCTGACTGCATTAGGAATTTTCTCAAAATCCTTCGGGTCAAAACATTTGGCATTAATCCTTTCTATTCCAATACTGAATTCCTTTCAAACATCTGATCTGCTGCCAACACACCTCTCCCTTCAGGCCCATCCCCCTTCAGCTCCAACTGCTCTCACAACCTGTCTTGAACCTCATTGTTAGTGCAAACTGCCACATGAAGCGACCTTTCCTTTTCTTTACCCTTCCAAGGCTCCAAAGGTCTACCAAATTTTTCTTCCATTTGCTTAAAAGATTTCCTTGTACTTCCTCCTATAAAAAACAAGCCCAAAGATTCACTAACCTCCACCTCAGTATTAACTATTGCTTCCAAGTAAATAGAACCTTCAACTTCATGAGTTTCATCAATGACAACACCTTCCTCCAATTAGGACCTTCGATTCTTTCTTGCATTTGTCTTTTGATGACATTTGGAGAAATTGGGAAGTGATGGCCAGAAGCTCTTCCAAAAAAGAAAAAGAAAAGATTTTATGGAAACCCCCAGCCAAAGACTTTGTTAAACTAAACTTTGATGGGAACAGTCAAGGCAACCCAGGCCCTTCAGGCATAGGAGGGGTGTTGAGAGATAAAGAAGGAAATATCATTGCAATATTCTCCGGTCATGTGGGAGTGGGGGATTCCATTAGGGCGGAACTGCTTGCTGCTATGAAAGGGGTACAGATTGCAAGTGAGTTGGTTTTGATAAATCTGGAGATTGAAGGAGTGACTCAAAACTGGTGATAGGATGGTTGAAGCATCCAAAGTTTATAATCTGGTGCTTTAGGGATGAGATGAAGAAATTTAAATGGCTAATCAGAAACATGAATTTGAGAATACTTTGGGTTAGGAGAATGGCTAATGCTATGGCACATGTGTTGGCTAAACAAGTTGTAAATAGGGATAATTTGTATTGGGCTCAGCTGTAATTGACTTTTGTAATTTGCTTGTCGTGTGAGAGGTGGCACCTTGTGCCTCTCTATGGAATGCTTGTACTACCTATTTTCAGTTTTCTTTAATAAATATTTACTTTTACTTATCAAAAAAAAAGGGAAAACACCTTCCTCCAAAGACTCACTCAAATTATCATCATCATCTTCAGCCTTTGTGTTTCCACCTTCAATTCCTTTTTCTTCATGACTTCACCCTCTGTTAATGGTTTTGTTCTGCATTTCCTTTTTTTTTTTTTGCTTAATACATTTTTACCTCTTTCTTCTTGCAACCACAATACCCCAGCTCCAAACCATCCTCCAGATAGTCTTATTAAACTATGTCGTTGAATGCTTACTGAGATAATGTGATCAACATAATGCTTGAAGACTTGGATATACCGCAAGAAGATTTCTGTCAAAGGCTTCCATTGTGCACTGATCAAAAAGCTACAATGATATGAGAACACTGTGAAAGTGTCAGGATCCAAGAAAAAACAAAAAACTATCTGGTTGTATTGCCTCAGGAGTTACTAATCTATTCAACTTAGCAGATTGGTGCACGAGTCAAGTTCTTGATCTTTAAAACACTGCAAAAGTGATTGCCTGCACACTTAGTACTTTCAGTTACATAAGAAAATACAAAACTGAACACTTACAACTTAACAGGCTAATCATTAGCAATCTGCATGATTTATAAAGCTGGCCATTAAATCATCATCTACCATTAAAATATCATAAGATGGTACCCATAGAGGAGTATTTTGGACATACAAAGACAACTAGTGTCAGCATCATAAAAGTCCACAAACCAGATCATGTGTACCTTTCCTTGCATTGAAGAACAAACAGTAGATGCTAATTGAATGCCCACTCCTAGTCCCACAACATTAAAAAGAGTTGAGATGGCCTCTCCTTTTGCAAACAGGTCACTGAGATTGCCTTCTTTGGCAAAAGAGGAGTATATAGGTAACCTTGTTGCTCTCGCAGCCACAACTGCCATACCCTGTAATGTTCATAAATAGAGAAACATTAAAGTCCATTAATATAAGTTATTATAGAGAAAAAATCCGAAAATTCAAGTGACTGATGTAAAAAGTGAAGATGACAGAAATCAAACAAGTCATTTTCTTTTCTTTCAGAGAACATCCAAATAGCACAGGTTCTTAACAATCCAAATGAAATTTCAAGAAAACATGATAAAATTAATCAGCAACTGACAATACTAGAGTAAAAAAAGGAGGAAAGCTCAAGTACCAGAAATCCTGGATACCTTTGCAAAATTTCCAAGGCCAGCCATTTCAAGGAAAAGTTGTGGACACAATGGAGAGAGAACCTCTAAGCCAGTACCAAGATCATAGAGCACATCAGCTGCAAGTGAAAAGCGCATTCACTAGTAATTATCAGAAAAAAAAAAGCATGTTCATTAGTACATACATACATATGTATGTTATATATCAATGATATGACCAAGGTTTTTAAAAGGATACAGATGAAGGCAAGTTAGTTGGGCCTGGAGAGACAAGGCATAAACCTCAAATTATTCAAAAATAAATAATAGATAAATAAAGTTACTGACCATAAGCCTATGCTAAATATCAGTAACAAAAGATTTGATGGTGTATAAATTTTCCATTTAACATTCATGTAATACTCAAATACTCAACTAAGCCATGTCCCAACATATGGGGTTGGATACATGAATCTTATTCTGCCATTCCACTCTATTCACTTCTTCAGTGCCATAAAAGGCCATTACTAATGTTGGTTCCGGCTACTTGGGGACTGGATATGGTCCTAACCTTTGGCTTTTTTTGGCACAAAGTGGCCGCTCTCAGACTCGAACCTGGGTTCTCACACTAACAGCCCAAGAGATTTTTTTCACAAAAGCCGTTATCAATACTTATCGTATCCATTGTTAAATTATGGGCCCTCAAATCATTTATCACCACTTCAATACATGTTTTTCCTATCCTGTCCCTATCTCTTCTAGACCCTTCAGCTAGCAACAGATTACTTCTTCTTGCTGGTGCTATAAATGGTCTTCTTTGCGCATAAACAAACTATAACCTGTTGGGGCCTCAAATCATTTATCATTACTTCAATACATGTTCTTTCTAGCCTGTCCCTAGCTCTTCTAGACCCATCAACTTGCAACATATCACTTCTTCTCGCTAGTGCTGTAAATGATCTTCTCTACACAAACCAACTACCACCTGTTGGGGCTACTCCTAGGTTCCTATGAATATGTCCTTTTCTAGTTTTCCCACTTATCCATCTCAACATTCTCTTTTCTGTTACACTCATTTTTTTTACATGCTATTTCTTAATTACCCAATGCTCTGGCTCCATTTTTTTGGTAATAAATAAAAAGAAAACTTTTATTAAAAGAAGAGAGAGAAGCAAACAGGTGACAAGATATAACCCCCAAAATAACACCCAAGGCCCACCAAAAACAACCCTTCTGCCCTAGATTTTAATTACAGAATAAAAAGACCCAATACCTTTAATAGACCAAAAGAACAAAGCAAAACCCTAAACCCAAATCAGACCCAAATCCTTTAATAGACCCCACCCCGAATAAGGTCCTTGCCATAGCATATCCCTCAGGAACCTTCTCCATATCTTTCTTCAATCAACGGATACTTTTCCTCCAGGTCCTTGAACAGCTTCCTTGTCATTTCTTCCCCTCCCAACACCCAGAGTCCTAAAGCCTTACTTACTTGAACTGCACTTTCTACTACCTTGTCCACATCTACTTTCTTCTCCCTCCTCTTCCAGCTCCTCATCAAAATTATCTCCCTCTGAGAGATCCTCCTTTTCCCCAGCTAACTTCTCTTTGTCTATGTTGTTTTCCCCTAAGCCAACTTCCTATTCCCTTCCCTCCGCCTCTCTTTGTAAGGGTTTTTCTGATTGACTTGTATGGATCCGTCCTGCAACCTCTTTTTCAAACTCAAGCTTTGACTAATCACAGGCGCTACTTCCAGCAAAGATCTTTTCTTTACTTTTAGTCTTCAAAACCTTTCTCTTATATGTTCTCTTGAATTTGCTACAAGGTCCCCAAAAAATCCTTCATTCAACCAATGAAAAACTTCTGTTACATGTACTAATTGTTCATTGTTTGGACTTTTGACCTTTCTCGACCCAGCCTCAAACCTCAAAGGTTTTAACGTTCCCTTCTAACAAAACTGGAAATTTTCCTTCTTTTTCCATCTTCAGGTCACTGGCACCAGAGATCACATCTGGATCTTCAGCGGTCAAAACTGAAGTCATTTTTAACTTAAGTAATGGTTTCCTAGTTTTCCTCCCAAACATTTGCAACTTCCTGCCCCAAGTGCTTCTCTTGCTCTATCCTGTTGTTATGTCCCTCCATTTGCATCTCCCCTGAAGTATCTCTAGTGGATGCACAACAATTCACCTCGAGCAAAATGCCAGGAGACGGGTTTTTGTTCATGGGCTCCAGAGATTCAACCTTAACTCCTTCGAGCTTCGTAGAAATGGACTTTTTGAATTCTACAGGCCTTCTCATCTTCAACACCAATGAAATCCTTTTTTTCTTTCCACACAAGGTCCTGTTTAATAGTCTTATCCACTGTAGGCTCATTCTTGCAATAGGATTAGAAGAAGACGATGAGAGACCCAAATAAAGTATCATGTAGCCTTGTCACAACTTCGGCCTTATCAGGCTCAACAATAGAAGGCCCACCTCTTGAATCAACCGGCCCATTCCCATAATCCAGCACAAGTAAACCTGGTTTCAAAATTACCGGTTCAGTACCAACTGACCCAGTGGAACTGACTCAAGTTAAGGCTCCATTTCCAATCTAGGCATTAAATGCTCCTCCTCAACAGCCCTTTGCAACTTGGAATTAGACTTTTCACCTTCCTTGTAGCTGGCAATCTGGGACTGAAAACCACTACATGCAACCTCTGCAGCCCTTTCTAAGTAAGGTTCCTCTCCTCACTCCTTTTTTTTAATAAGTAAAATTCATTAGAAAGAAGGCAATACAAACCTAGCCCGGTGTTAAGGCAACACCTACAAACAAACTCAAGCATTACAATTTGCCCAAAGGCAAAACAAAATAATTATCCAAATTACAAATTGAGCCCTAAACTTCCAAAAAATGACCCCAACTATCCTCTTGATTAATTGTCAAGCTTGCCTAATCTACCAAGAAGACTTGCAACCAATTCAACCTCCTTCATCTTTCTTCTCTTAGATCCTCTGACATTTCAAGGCACCATCTCCATCTTAAATTTTCAGCCTTCTCCCCCTTTCTTATTAATTCTTCTCTGACCTCCCTTCACTCTTCATCAACAAGTTCTTCTTCCCTTCTCCTTCCTCCCATACCTCACCCCCTTCCCCAACAGATTTCTTTTTGTTATATTCTTCCCTTCTCTTCTTTCAAATTGTTCAATTGCCTTCCACACCAACCCGTCCCCCCTAGAATGAAGAGGAAAAGAGACTTCCCAATCACCACCTGTCTATCCACTAGTTGATCAATACCCACCTTCCTTTTTCTTAGTGTTCTCTTCCCCCGTAACCTATATAGTTTCAGCCCCCACAATCTCCTCACCCCCCTCCCTCTCTTCCTTTTCTTCCTCCTCTTGCTAATTCGAACCTTTCCTTTCAACCTTTTCCCCTAAAGCTCCTTGTACTACCAATCTTCTCTTTCTATGTAAACCCTCTGTTGATTGTCCTCCACTCTTTTTCTCTTTAAACTCCTTCCTCCTTCATCCACACCATCAAACCCCCCATCACCCAAATCTTCTTCCCTACCAAAGCCACCCCAACCCATCGAAGCAAGAGGAGAAGATGGAAGACCATTAGAAACCAAGCAAACCTTACCGTTCAGTTGCGCGATAATTTCCAAAGTTTTCACTCCAATGATTTGTCTGTCAACACTCTTTGATGTCACTCCAGATATCCCTAGACTTCCACTTGTAATCTGAAGAGCTATACTCAAAGTAGCAAAGAAGAGAAGAGAACCACAGAACTGAAGAGAATGTCGAACTATACTAGGCAGTCGACCAGTCTTTTATTTATAGAAGAATATAGTACAAGGTACAAGAAATTACTGGGATGCCCCTGATTAGTGATGGGACACCCAGATGACTTAAATCACTAAACAAGATTAGGTCCATTAACACAGGCCCAGTTACAAGATAAGTTAAACATAAGACTGGGCTAATAAGAACTCTCATCAGCCGAACATCACTCTAACATTCTAACACCACTCAATGATTCTCTTTCAACATATTCTTTTTCCCCATAGCCACACTTCTCAATTTTGACTAATCTTTCAATCGATTGATTCTTCTACAGAGAAGCATCCATGCATGGTGAGATCTGCTTCTTACTCTTCTGGATTTTATACTTGCTTCGATCCCGCCCTAACTTTACATCTTCTCTAGTTAATGTGTTCTCTAATTGCTAAATCTCATCCAAGTGACAACAATTATATGGAAAAACCCTTATCTCCCCTCCCTCTGTGACCATCACTTTCCTTCCATTTTCGTCCTTCGCAACAACCCAGACCCAATTGTTCTATGCTTCTCCCTTCTCCTTTTGATCATTTCTAGTCAGTGGAGCCCCACCCCCTTAGGGCTAAGATTTATCTTTCCAACAATGCCCCTCACTACTCGGAATCGCCTTCTCTAGTTTCCCCCCTTAAAATCTTTGCCTAATTTCTTAAAGAAGTGGTCACCGTTTTTATTTTTCGGCACCTGGACTAAGTTTCCCCTTTGAAGGAAACTCCTCAGGAAATTTGAATTGGCCCAATCCTGCTCTACCACGTAGCCAATCATCTTCAACCTCTAGATCTTCCATTTTTCTGGCTTCCGTCCAACTACTTGCTTCAATGGAAGTTGCAAGCCAGACATAATAATAGTGTTATCAGTCCAGACTTCCACCAACCTAGGTATGCCTCCTGGTTCCACACCATTAAAGGAGTATGGTTGCTGAATGAAAATCGAATGTAAAGACCCCCGCAAGTTTCCCTGCACAAGTTAAGGTGATGGATAAGTAAACTTCTTGCTTCAAAAGATGGAAAGGAAGCCTGGAAATTCTAACAATGACACCATCTTCAATACACAAATACTTTGCATTGGACATGGGGGCCAGCTCAAAACCAAGATATTCCATAACTCAATTGTAAATTTACAACTCCCAAATCCAACACTTCTTCAACCAAATTAATGAAAGCTTTACATTTTTCAAAAGGTGTGATGATCATTGTTCCCTTTAGTTTTAACCCTCTACTTACCACCTCTGCAATCTTCTTCCAATCTCAAACCTCTTGCTTCACTTCGGCTACCAACATCTTAGTCTAGGTCTTCTTTCCTTCTTAGGCATCCATCTTACCCTTCCA